TACATTGCAAACTGCTGTGGCTTTGCTCGGGTTCGGCTCGAGTGACGGCTCCTGTTTTCTCAAGTCTCGACTTGACTTCATCTTGCTTTTGCTTCACACTGGATCAAGTAGCAAGGAGCAGCCAATGCACTTTCAGCAGGTTGTGTGGTTTTAATGCATATTTAAAATTTCTACGGTCACTCATATGCTCTGTTAACCGGTCATCGAGCATTGCGAAAGGAAAGTAGTGGTTGACTTTGATTGAATGTTTATTTCAAACGACTACAGACACGTCAAATGAAACACAAATACATGAAACAGTGGACTGCAAACTGCAGCAATAATATGGCATGAGTCATGAAAAAGCGCCATCAAAACTATAAATCAATCACAAGACCCGCTAGCCTTCCTCCCCGTTCGGCGTTCATAATACTTGGTTGAACACTTAACCGAAAGCATAAAGTAAGGACAGCAAGTAATCGCTCATAAGACATAAAGCAATTAGCAAACAATCGTTTATAAAGAACTTTACTCTGGTGAATGGGAGCTTTGGAGGCGTCTGGCTCCTCCACACACACACATCTGCAGTAGGTGGTCGGCCAGCTTTCGGCGCAGTTTCCGTATATGTAGGTATACCTATTTAATTATAAGCAGGCAGTTTCCGCTAAACCACTTGGCGAGGGCGACAGCGGCGTCCACCCGGTCCTGGTTTGTATAACTATTCCATTTTTTGGAACAATTTGCTCTAATGGTACGTACCTGAAAAAGAGATCAATTGGTTTAATTTACATTGCATGTTTGCTTGAAAAATAACTTATTGTTGCATTAATACTGTAACAGCACTTCTCATTGATCCGTATAAAATGTTCATTCGAATTTTTCAACGCGGACAGAGAATGAGCGTGCTCGGTGATAAGTAGATAAATATTTGTGTTTTGTATTTCATTTTCCTGGTTCAGAAGTGCTGGTATTTCACAAAGATATACATAAAGGCACGGAATGCGGCTTTTCTGAGCGAGGGTATAAGTCGCCAGGCTGAACAGCTATTCAGCTTCATGTTTGATGGCGTGAAACTCAGTCAAAATAATGACGTTTACATACGATCAAGCGCACCATTCAATACAATTACCTACCGTAAAACTCCATGCCAGTCCACTTGATAAGAGCAATGAGCACTATCCCTTCTTCGCGCTGTCACACGCGCCCAAACATCAACCACCAAATGCCCCAACACCGGTGTGTCGTTTCGTCGCACAGCGCGCAGACTGTCACAAACGCTGCACATGATTGGCGCAGAACTGCGCATGCGCGAACAGCCGAACAAGTATGGCTAAACTCCGGCTTTACTCCAGTTAGCCGAAGGACACAGCCAGCTTGATCAGCTCGCGCTCCGCCCAAGTTAAGCCTGTTTTGGATGCGTGGGCAGATGTCGGGCTGAGCTACTGCTATCCGCACGTGGGCATAGCTGCGGCATGCCCAAGCTCAGCCCTAGTAAAAAATACATTGGTTTTGATCAAAGTGGGCAAACCCAAGCTAAGCCCAAGCTGCCCGACGTTTGCCACTGTTCAGCCCAAGTGAATTGCTGGCTGGGAATGGGGAGGTCGCAAAATTGACCTGACCTTAGGTCATCGATATCAAAATTCTGAGATAAACATTTTGTACATGCTATTGCTCTTAGCAATCGCTGAAAGTTTCAAAGCGATCGGTCACTCGTTGTAGCTATGGCAGACATTGAAACTTTTTATGAGGTGAGGTCACTTCAAGTGACCTGGTGACCTGACCTTGAATGACCTTGGTCTGAAATTTTCACAACATGTGTAGAATTGATGTATGATAAGGTGTACCAAAAACGGCGGCGCTCCGCGCGCCGTTTTTGAGATATTCGCGAAAAACCACAAGGGGGGTGTTCAAACACCCCCCCCCAGCAGGACGCGGGTTAAGCAATACCCAATACTTACAATACTTATCTATATATAATTACCATAAAAAGAAATACACAGTTATATAGCCATTAGCCGGTAGCCCTCGTCTGTCAGCAGTCACCATTTCTGCATTGTCATAGTTTATGAGTCATTGTCACAGCGCACTCCTCCCTCTGAAAATATTAGTAAATACCTGTTTACACTGCAACCTTTTCTAACCGGATCCTTTGACTTGTTTGTTTGACTTTTGGGAGCGAGAGGTCACTAATCGGTCAGGACCAGGGTGCTTGCAACTGTCAATGAGTCAGGGCGCTAATGAAAGGCCTCGATGGCCGGTGGAGCCCACAGTTTGGCGCCTGATTTCGACCCATTCCGACCCAGGCCGCAAGGTAAGGGTGAAGGGGTGCTTCAAACGGTGCTGGACTATTGCTTAGTACGGTAAGCGGTCCACATCCTGTTGTGATTGTTCTCCTACAGCTCTGCTCCAAGCGTGTGACACATGATGCTTTTTGGGTCCCCGTTGAAAATCACCACGTTTTAAGGTAGTTCTTCCTTTTTAGATAAGCGATCTTTGCTGATGCAGAAAAATTGCACTTCGTTCGGTGAAAGTTCTTAGAAATCCCCTCGTTTTTTTTTGCTGAAGCTTGAGGACTAGTTATCATCACTACAACAGACATAAGACAAAGGCGTTGAAATCAGAATAAAAATGTTCCAATTTTATGCATGTTTTATCTAAGTAAGCTACGATCAAGTTAAAAACTATATCAGCATAGGTGATCGAAGGTCAAAATTAGAACGACCTCCTTGTGCCAAATTGGATTAGGTGTTCGTCTGGAAACTCGGCGACAGTGGGCTCGCGGCCGGGTAGCTCCGCGTCCTTCGGTCTGCGTTTATATATTTACCTACTGGTATCTGGCAATCTGGCCAGTAGTGTTTTTTTTTTAGTAGTTGGCAACTGGCACGAGAGGACCACGCTACATCGGGGAGGACCGTTTCGCCATCTACCTGCGATACAGTTGAACTTCGATTAAATTATCACCGGTGAACCGTGCGCGGGCAAGGTCCTGTGGTGTCATTTGCGGCAAGTACTGCGTAGTGCATAGGACGTCACCCGGCTCCATTCAACAACCATTTGGAGTGAATTTTTATTAAAATGAAAAATTTGCTGGATAATTCTAACTTCTAAGGATATTGAATAAATTGGGTACGACATCGGGAGGAAGGTATTTACACAGTTCTAATGAAGGCCATTTTTTCTTTACGTCCTATTTAACCATGTCAAATGTCGCTATGCCGTTTTCCTTATCAGTTTTGGCAAGTGTTGGGTCCTTATACACCACCACCACCACCAAACCGTCCACCACCAAACGCCACCAAACGTGTATATGAGTATATGGCCTATATAAATTATTTGCATGTCGTTTTCAGGAGACATGCGCTGTCTCTGCCTGCTAGGGCTAGCAGCTGCGCTACTGGCCGTAAGTGCCCAGAATATAACTCGACTGAAGCCGCCTGTTATACCTCTCATGCCTCTCAAGCCTGGACCGTTAAAGCCAAGCCCAATACCAGCCAAGCTGCCGAAGGTGCCTCTGCGACTTCCGCCGCCCAAGCGGCTGTATGACGGGCGAGGGGACCCCGCTGGATCTCCCGGACAGGCCATCGAGAGCTCCTTCAAGGCGACGCACAGCAAGCACGGCGTCGTGGGAGGAAAGTACGGGGCTGGTGTGAGAGTACTGAACAAGCCCAAAATCAAGGTCAGTATTGGCGTCGTGACGGACAAGAAGCTCAAAAAAGGCTCGGTAGGCTTACATGGGATACTTCGGTTTGGCGCAAGGCCGTATAAGAGGTTTGGCGGTGCACGGCGAGGGAAAAGAAGAAGGAACAAGAACCGCCGCGGAGGAGGAGGAGATTGGAATGGAGGAGGAAAAGGACGAGGGGCAGGAAGAGGAGGAAGGGGCGGTGGAGGCACAGGAGGGGGAGGAGGAGGAACCGGTGGGAATGGCGGTGGGTCAGGGGGTAAACAAATTAAAGAAATGGAGTCCAAAAAATTCGCCAAAGCTAAGGACACAGAATAAAACATGATGTTTCATATGTGGCACCAGTTAATTGCGTTTGGTGTCCAGAAAAGGAATTAATTTAGTCACTATCATAATATAACGAATTTGTGATGCATATTGTATATGAATATGCAGCATTTGTGATCAACTGTAATACAAATTGCGGTCATTCGGCTGAGTTGGGATATTCTTGCTCCATTTGAGAGTAGGTATCTGCTAAGACATGTTTAGCACAATAGCCACGCGAAATCAGTCACAGCACTATGTTGCCGGTTATCAGAGCGAATTTTTTACAATCAACACTCTTCGTGAACACGCCGTCTCGGACGATCATGGTGGCCGGTAGCCACAGGGGCGCCAACACTTTACAATGGCGGCCCTCGGCCAGTTTGCACAGTTCCTCGGTGAGTATCTTTTCAGGCAACTGTTGCTTGAGAGTTAATAATATACTATACAATTTTGACGTCACACGGCACCTGGGCAGTTTGATGCAGGGTATATTGTTTGATGTGCCTGAGCTATGAGCTGCCACTGCTCTCTTGCCGTGATGTCCGCTAGGATTTGGCGTGGTGAAGCCTCGTCCCCCGCTAGCTCCTTTTGCATGTGTTCCAGCTTTCCCTAGCTCAAAGACGCCTAATGCCCCCCCCCCCCCCACACACACACACTTTTCGTGAGGTTCCTACGCCCATGCTTTGAATAAAACATACATACATACATACATACATACATACATAATACCTACATACAAAACACGGTGAACTCCGAGTCAGGTAAGCAGATCCAAAGCTGCATATGACCTGGCCATATACCAGAGCGCCTGCACAAAAGTGCTGAGAGTGGCTGCAACTCCGTGACTTATAATACGATGTAGTTAGTAGTTACAATATTCCCTTGAACCGCCAACCTTTTCCAACCGGAGCCGTAGGTACTACGTTTTTTGACGTTTGCTAGCGAGAGGCCGTGTCAATCGGTTAGAGTCAGGGGTCGACAGCTGTCTACACACGTGTCGGATTATTATTGACGGCCGGCGTGGGCCAGCGGCACAGTTCGGGCGGCCACTGCGACTCATCCTGGCCGCGCGCTGGTTGGGCCCCAGTGGGGACCGTTGGTGTTTCCATCGAAGACGGTCAGCGACACCATAGAAACGTGTAGGTAAGCGATACGAGGATGCAGTGATATTTTTGTGGTGCAAGGTAGCTTGTTCAAAGGAATTATTTTTGTTTGTTTCTCCATTTCACCGTATTGACTTGATTTTTTTTGCAATGATTTTTGACATAATCGCTTGGCTCAAGAGTCAAGACCCATGCCATTCTGATGCAAAACCAACCGTGGTACTTACACACTCATGTAGGTATGGAAATACCTACATGCACGCATAGATACGTAAGCAGTGCACTTAAGTTTTGTGCGATATATGTATATTTTTTTCAGGAGAGATGCGGTGCCTGTGTCTGCTGGGGCTAGCAGCCGTGCTGCTGGCCTTAGGCAGTGCTCAGAAAGCAAATCGACTGAAATTCCCTCACAAGTCTCTGGAGCCTCAGCCATTCTCGCCAAAGCCAGCCAAGCTGCCGAAGGTGTCTCTGCGACTTCCACCGCCCAAACGGCTGTATGACGGGCGAAGGGACCCGGCCGGCTCTCCCGGACAGGCCGTCGAGGGCTCCTTCAAGGCGACGCACAGCAAGCACGGCGTCGTGGGAGGAAAGTACGGGGCTGGTGTGAGAGTGCTGAACAAGGCAGGGGTCAAGGTCAGCCTCAGTGCTGTAACCGACAAGAAGCTTAAAAGAGGCGCTGTCGGCTTACATGCAATAATTCGGATTGGCGGTGGGCGTCGAGGGCGAAGGAGAAGAAGTAGGAAACCCCGAGGAGGAGGAGGAGGAAGAAAAGGCAGAAAACCCGGCACAGTAGGAGGAATTAAAAACAGTCACCGTGGAGGAAGCGGAAGAGCATTGATTGGAACAGGCAAAGGATGGACTGGAGGAGGTATAAGCGGTGGAGGTGCAGGAGGGGGAGGGGGAACGAAAGTGGACAAGGGACAGACAAAAGGGGGTGGTGGAAAGGCCAAGGATGTGGAAAAAAGATCATTTGCCGAAGACGCTGATACGGCTTGATGAGTTGATGACGCAAGGAGCTCCTTATGTCTTAATCTACAGATGCCCAGTTAAACGATCGTTTCGGTCGATAATTTCAATTCGTATAGTTGTCACAGGCAATGTGTGAAATCAGGCATTATAGAATGCCTAGGCATTCTATAGAATGCCTGACCGACCAGGCATTCTATAGAATCCCTAGGTATTCTATAGAATCCCTGATTGCTTAGGCATTCTATAGAATGTCTAAGTATTTTGGTTGTTCGAAACACACTTCGAAATTTAGAGGTCAGTGGCAGTAATGCTATTTATCCGTCGCGCCTGCGCTCGCAAAAAACTGACTTTGATGAACGTGGGGCTGTATTCGAAGCAAAGGTGTACAAAGTACAGTTTTTTGGTGAGGTGATGACACGATACATGATGAATACAGTCCGGTAACCACTACATTGCCTGTAACATAGTCATTGAAAACCTTCATTACGTGGAAGTTTGTATATCTATTAAGTTTATTGTGTGTTTCGTACCAAGAGAATCAAAAGTCATGAGGACCGTAATTACAGGTTTATAGAAAAGGACCAATGTTATGCATAAATTTCATATCATGATAATGAAATGAGTTTGTTTGGTTTTGAGGGCATAAATGAGCTCTTTGGCCTCGTTAAACCGGACTAGACTTTAATAAACTACCCCCAGTTGAACTCGCCGTCGGCTGTTCATGGTAGACAGTGGCCGCGGAGCCACTGTTCCCGTTGGGAGCTGATGGGAGCGGAGCGGTGCGGCCGGGGGGGGGGGGGATCGGTCGGTCTGAGCTGCCGCCGCCCTGGCCGGCAGTACCCCGCCGTTGGCCGAGCTCGGCCCCCACGCCCGCGCCCGCGTCCGGCCGGGCATGTGAGAGTGCGCCGCGCTGTCCGTCCGCTCGCCAGGTCCGCTGAGGTGCGGCAGTGTCACCATGGTCGGCGGTGTGCGGTCGGTCGTGCTGAGGACGCTGCTGGGAGGGCTGCTGAGCTGGGCGCTGGTATCAGCGCTGCTGGCAGCGGCCCCCGTCAGCGCCAGCGCCGCCTCCTGCTCCCCCGATCAGCTGGTCACCTATCGGCTGGACATAGAGACGCACTGGTCCAAACAGCGCTTCCCGAAACAGTACCCGATATGGCGGCCACCGGCGCAGTTCTCACAGTTCTTCGGTGAGTGTCTTTCAGGCAGCTGCTGCTCGAAAGCTAATAATGCATTTACTCCGTTTCACAGGCGACAGCATTCAGAATGGTTGTTTTCTTTTGTTGTTTGGGTCTATTAGGTCTAGTTGGGCCCATTGGAACGCATGCCAGGTGTCGCACAGGGGTTGTCGGCATAGCAAAAGGCGTCATTTTAATAGTGAAACTGCGTATCACTATCTCATTTAAACCCGTCATACTTGAATTGCTTTTAATACACAAGCCACAGGAGGAGCGTAGCACAGGTCACAGGAGCGCAGCACTTCAATAAGGTGCACGTTCCCTGCCGAAAGGTCTTTGATTGGCTCCACCCACCGATCGTTTATTGCCTCCACCTAGTTATAGTCACCATGGTCAAGTGCCGATCAGCTCGGACGACTGATGTCTGTCACAGTTGGCACCATTACCTTGGCAAGTGCACCGTGCTGTTGGCAGCCAGTGAACCCTGGCCGCTGCTAGGACCTCAGCTGACAGACCGTTCTATCGTGTCACGTATGCAAACGTTACTGCAGATCAACGACAGGGGGCTTATTATACAGAAGTGCAATATGATAAACGGTCACGTCTTTATATCAAGTTACCATCAAAATGAGAGGGTATAGCAATAGTATACAAATCATAGCATTATCTTACATAGCATGCATACAAATCATAGCATTTTGGGTCACATATGACGGGTAAATATATAAAAGGGACACTGTGCGACACGCAACACCATAAGATACAAATACAGTGAACTCGTTTAGTGGCACCAACACATCCCTTTTCAGCATCTCGGTCACGTTTCAGCGTTGATGTATTCTTGTCGATAGCTGGCTTGTCGTCTTATCGGCAATCAATGTTCACCAGTTAGCATGTCATCACGAAACTGCGTTAAGAGTTATCGCAGTGATTTGCACTTTCAAAGCGGAGCTCTGGCTCGTGCTAACATGCTCTGATATAGCCAGCCACGTTGATCGTAACTGGTGCCTACTTTGTACAATGAAGCGATTAAAACATGTTGCATTTACTAAAGTATTATGTAGACCTTAGACCCTTTTAAATAATGGGAATGCGCTGCCTTATTTATGGCAGCAGTTTACACGACAACCGCCACAACACTGTGTCAAACTAGTCGGCTACAATTACAGTACCTATATTTTACTTCTAATATTCAGCTTAACAAAATCAAGTCCTTGAAATTTGAATACCTACTTGGCACTTACGAGCTGCCCTTTTTCCAACTCGTACATAGCCAGTCATGACTATGCCAATTACCAAGCATTATTATTTATTTTCCTCTCATTGTGCGACGGGTGTGTCGAAACCCATGAAAAGCCTACCACCATTTACACGCAGAGTGGATGCTGTGCCGCAAGACACGTATGCCGTGCGGCACAGCATGTATGTTTTCTTCGCTACACTAGCTTTCCCTCAGAGTATGGCGGATGCTTTACTGTCCGTCGAGAATTGTATCTCGGTTCTTGTCCTACAAGATGTGTCTGTCGTAGAAAATCGTGTGGAGCAAAATATGCAATACGATACAATCTGGATATCCAGGCGGGCGCATTGAAGATCATAGCTCGAACTCGAAAACGCGTAATGCGAAAAGAGAGAGAGAGAGAGAGAGAGAGAGAGAGAGAGAGAGAGAGAGAGAGAGAGAGAGAGAGAGAGAGAGAGAGAGAGAGAGAGAGAGAGAGAGAGAGAGAGAGAGAGAGAGGACTCGGCCGTCGCTCAGTCTGGCGTCTGTTATCGCCCCTCACCCTTCATCTTGCGCCCATGTCACGATTCCCAGCCAGCAGCCAGCCAGCCACCTGTGAGGACCACGTAGTCGAGTCGGCTCTATGATGCACGACGCCGGCCCATACCAATCGGAGCGAATCTGCATAACAACCGCTCACAACTGATTGGCATTGCGTCCAATCAATAAGGCGGACTGGTGCAGGTGGCCGCAGTCGAGGAGCCGCGCCCCTGCACGACACAATGGGTCAGTGGCTGCTGACGAGTCCGTGACCCGGAAGGCACTGCAGTGGGGGGGGGGGGGGGGCAGTCACGCCGCGGAGGAGAGGAGAATTTGATTATTGTGACCTTGGTGGAGACGGTGAGGGTGGGGCACTGGGGAGGGGAAATATGGTGGCGGAGACTGGGGAGAACTGAACTGAGATAGAAGATATTGTGATGGTTGGGAGAGTAGATAGAATGGGAGGAATGCGAAACAAGGGATGAAACGCAGAGGATTTGGTAGTGGAGCTGATGCTGAATGAAGAGGAAAGGAGGAGGTTTGTTGCGGGACACTGCGATTGAACGGAGGGGATATGGCCGCGTCAAGAATTGTGATATGATTTAGAGGGCATGATGTTGTGAACTGAGGTGCAAACTGAGGAAATTGAGAATATCACGGCGGTAAAAATTGGCATAAAACGGAGATGAAGGAAGCCAATGTGATAGTGAAGTACCCAGACATGGTGTCTCCTGCTGACAGTCAGCAGTGCCGGTGGTGTTCTTACTGACCCGTCTGATCTCTCCGCCTCTGACTGCGACTCTATCTGTCTAACGAGTCGTGACTCATCATACAGCGCCTGGGGAGTAACGGGTGGCCAGACGGGCCGCCGGCCCATCCGTCACGCCCAATTCAGCGCTCTGTGTCGACGGCAGTGCCGCGGGGTGCTCAGGGGACATACTCATCCAGAAGGTCAAACAGTGACCGTCGCAGCCCGCCCAGACGCCGGCTGGTTATAGACGGCGCTTTATTGCAGCTAAGTGCAGAGATCGCTCACAGCAGTCGACAGCAGGCGCACCTATTTGAAATCCTGTCAGGAGAGTTTGTGTTTGGGCTATCAATAGCAAACTTTGGCGCATTCATCAAGTGGGAAATAACTCAGTACTGAGTCACACATGCCTCACAGGTGGTCTACAAGTCAACATAAATAGAGGTGCGTCACATTGTGAGCTCAATAGACGAGGAAATATTCGTTGGAATTCTTTTATTAGTTTAAAAATGCTTGCGACTAGGATGTCCTGGAAGCGTTAGTCATACTCGTTATCTAAACAAATGAGCAGCAAGAAAGGAACTAGGAAGTTACATAGCTGGAAGTTAGTGGAGTAGTCTTGGCCGGTACAGCACCACTTTGGCATCTTTGTAGGGACCATTTAGTCGGCACGATGCTTATCTGCTCACACGTGCTCGGTGTCACTCCTTTTTATAACCATAAAACCACTGTGAATTCATTTGTTTGTCAGGTGAGTAGAATTTGTTTGACATTCTAAAGTAACCTTGTTTTAAAGTTACCTCTAATTAGTTAGCTAACTTTTACGTTTTGATGGATCTGAGGGAGATGCTGCCCTTCCAACCAAGCATGTCAAGGTGCAGCGCAGTTCCTCTCAGTCATTTATAGATTTACATCTTGTTCAATTGCTGCATTCTGTGCTGAGGTTTCAATCGGCCATGGTAACTGGCCATCCCCAATTTCTGCCCCCCTGTCTCATACCTAGCCTCTGCATCGTAGGTGAGTCAGCTCTGAGCCATCACCGCTGGTTGTCAGGTGTTTATAGTTCAATTTTGGGTCCAACTCTAGCCCTTTCCGTGAAAGAGCAGCCTGGAGAGAGGTTGGTTGCTACATTACATCAGCCCATACTGTGCTCGGCCAGCTACCGGTGGAAGAATGCGGACCGAACCGAAAGGCTGTCGCAACACTGCCGACACTGGACAACGGGTACATAAATAGAGGGGAGTAACAAATTAGTCATTTGTGAGAGACACTCACGGTGGACAAACATTGCAGGTGCGCCACAGAACAACATGCTGTGTCATCGCGACGAAATAAGCCGGGTCGTAAAGAAAACAACAGGAAGGCGTGCATTCTCAGACGACGTTTAATGCAAATTGCTGCCTGGCTAGGTGTGGCCGCTGTTGTCTTGGGCACAAACATGATCGTAAACAGTAGAGCTAAACGGTCCTACACGGTGGTCCTGGTGACATTTATTGGTATTGTGAGTTGACCTCGTGAGTACCTACAAGTATCAAACTTCAGCCGACTGGTATCCATGTACAGTTTTAGCACGCTGATAACGTTGCATTGTTTTTGTTTCAATTTATTTTAAACACTGCTGTAAAACATCCATTTTAACATCAACAAATGCCATTCGCCCGGCAGCATGGCAATCCACGTCCGTGAGCGAGCTCTGATCACCGTGACCTTAACACCATCACCAATCTCATTCACCACTCTGTTCAACACTGTACGCCGGTCCCAGTGTGCGGCCGGTGATTGCTATCGGCTCCTATTCTATGCTCTGCGCGTGTCTGGCTTTTGTCCGCCCCTCACGGCCAGCCGCCAGGGTGTGGTCACTGGTCAGTCTTTGGTGGATGGAGCGTGTGCTACGAACACGGCAGGGTGGAGCCCGGCAGTCAGCACGCTCTCTAAGCGACCTAAGGGCGAAACGGTCGTGCCATTTCTTGCTATGCATCGCAAGTTATCTCAAGTGCGTTGGACGCCCTTTTGCCCCCATTGACTATGCACACTTACTTCATTGAATTTATATCACGCACGTCGCACGTCGTTTCGCGAATACGTTGGACATCATCTCACTCACATGTGTCATGGCGCTAAATGTCTCGCTCGGAGATGGTGAGACGATCCTGCACTGCATGCAGAGCCAAGGCGCAGGTGTTCGAACGGTTATGGTCACGAAGTTGTTGGCGGTGCACCGAGACTGACCATTGACTTGATTCAGAGATCAATCGAGCTAATGTGTGGTGTGCTGAACGGCGCAGTATTGTTGCCCGGATTAGTCGTGATAAATGTTTTGTCTTTTGACAATGAGAGACAATTAGGGTAGGGGAGCGCCTCACATGTACTTACATACAAGTTTTTACATTCATGTATGTGAAAACCGATCACAGTGCGTCACATAGGCCGAGTCCAAAAGAGATCTACACTCATCTGTTAACGAATAAATCACTTCAGCAAGCTTAAATTCATATCTATAATTCCTTCGGTGTCATAGGTTATTGCTACTGAATCCATTGTGTCTTATATATGCTATACCTATGGACTGACGTGGTAGCATAACGAACCACAACAGCTTCTCCAATTCAATTACACCGTGTCTAATTGAACAGCGGCCTAATTGACACGAACACACACCGCAGTGACACAGCGACCACCGGCACCGCGTCTCACCTGACACCGACGTCCCGACTGGGCCCTGAGCTGTATAAACAAACACACGCTGAGCTTCGGACGCTGTCGCAGCCCTCTGACCAGACAGGAAGCCCTCCGACACCGGGGTCAAGGCTCGGCGTCTCAATGGACGCAGTCGCTGGCTTCCTGCAGCCGTAACCGTCCGCGCAGTTGTTGGTATTCGTAATATACCGTCTGGTGAGACGGCATGCATATCACGTATCAGGGTGGATTATACCGGCTCGTTGGCAAATTACAGACCGGGAATGACATCCAATAATACCACTGCACCACGACCATGGCTGATGAGGCCCATTAGGTCCCCACAGGTGGGTGCTATGGCCGGTAACACGCGGCCGGCGGGACCTCGGTGTAAAGTAAGTGATGCCGAGGCAATCTCAGTCGGAGATTATCGTTGGGTTAAGTGATGAAGTGCCGTAATCTGGTACGATATGAACCGAGCCATGTGTGAGAGTGACGATATGAACCATACCATCACTCTCAAACGGTCACCCATCATCAGTCCCTATAGAATAGGTGGAGTGACGTTAGATCGCGTCACCACTATGCGCGATCTGGGAGTTACTCTGGACCAGAAACTCACCTTCGAGAGGCATGTTGATTCGATTGTCGCGGCGGGCAATAGAGCACTCGGCTTGTTGATTCGGTCACTCCAAGCCGGAGCGAGAATTAGGTATGACACTGGCGCTATCACCTCAGCATACTTCGCCAATGTACGTTCGGTTCTCGAGAACTGCAGTGTTGTGTGGGGCGGAGCGGCGAGAACACATACGGATCGCATAGAACGAATCCAGCATAAATTCCTTATTTGGCTTACAGTTAACTCTGTCACCAACTCGGATTCTCTCTCTTACGAAAATCTTCTTTCGGCACATTCTTTCACTTCTCTGGCAGCACGACGGGTGCAACATGACTTGGTTTATGTAGCTCGTCTTTTCAAGCACAAAATTGACTCCAGTTCCCTGCGATCTCATTTTGGCCTCGCCGTCCCGCCTCGATCAGTTCGCCGCCGTGATCTGTTCGCCGTGCCGTTCGCCAGAGTCGAAACCATCAAGAATGGGCTCTATTGTAGGGTGCCGAGGCTCGCAAATGAATTTCTGCGTGAAAACAACCAGCTAGACCTGTTTACGGACTCCTTAGCCACAGTGAGGAAAACAGCTAAGTCTTACGCTGCTCAGCTATCCTCCCGTGCCTTTCCCACAGACCAATGATGTTGCCGTGTGTCGCAAGATTGCGGTCTGTTTTGTATCATTTATTGTATACCTTTATTACGTGTTTGTATGATCAGTGTGCCTATACCTATGTGACTTTACCCGTAAATGGGCTTTTCCCGTGGGTGATACTGTGAATAAATAAATAAATAAATGTGACGGATGGTATGTGGTAGCGGGAAAGTCACTTCATTAGTGAGAAGGGGGCAAAAGCTGTTTGCTGCTTGCTTCATTCGACTAGCGCTGTCACCAAGCTTGGCCATATCTAATGCACAGGGCAGGGATGTGCATAATTTTGCATACTTTGGGCCTAAGCAGATCCTATAGTGGCAATTCGTTAGATGATCTCTTCCGTGTTCAAATCATTTAGGTAGCACTCACAATTATTATAATAAATTATCTAACTACACATGCATATTGTGTAATATAAGCCCATTGGGACCGTAACAAGCTCAGCAGCCGGTGTATAAAGCTATACCTGTAATAAAAGCTGTCCTCAGATTATTACAGCCGTCTGTCTGCCCTCTGTTCCAGGTCTGAGTCACAACGGCTCCCGGGTGCTGTACCGAGTGGGGGAGCTGGCGACCCCTGCGGTACGCCAGTTCACCGAGTCCGGCAGCTCCGCGGGCCTGGAGCAGCTCACGCAGGGTCAGAGGGGCATCCTGGACCAGTTCAGTGCACCGCCCGTCAAACAGGGCGAAGGCACCACCATGGCCAGGGTGTTCGTGGATGGAGCCCACTCGCAGGTGAGTGACGCGGAGTTACCGTGGGAGAGTTACCGTGGGCACTATGGCCAGGGTGTTCGTGGACGGAGCCCACTCGCAGGTTAGTGACGGAGCCCACTCGCAGGTCAGTGACGAGCCCACGCGTAGGTCAGTGACGTGTTACCGTGCTCTGAGGGATCGCTGTCTTTTCTGAGCTGTTTCACAAACCTCTGTATGCCTTATAGAGGTCTATAGAGGTCTATAGTTGTTACTTGAACTGGGCTGGTGGTTCTATATCACGAGCACACAAAATAGACATCTTCCTAACTCATTTATTAGAGACTGACCGTCATCTGGAAGGGGTGTTTATGGTAATTACTAATTGGCCATAATGGCAGCCTTGCTGATCTCAGCTGACCAAGCAGAAGCGCCATGACTGCAGAGTCTGATTATCAAGGTCGCACCGTCTGCAGGGAGGGCAGCCTTACTGGCGTCACCCGCTCAGACGGCCCGGGAGGGTTAAGTGACGGTCATGAGCTGCAAAGCTACGGCGACACAGCACGTCAGCCCGGCGACAGCTCATTGAACGGCGGAGTTCGGTCTCAATAGGCGCTGAATGGGCAGACAATGATAATCTCAAGCGTATCTTCTATCTAATCATTGTTGCAATATCATTTAAATTGTATAGCAATAAAAGTATATAGAATATAGTTATGCTGATATACTCTTATTTCTTACTTCTTTTTGTAGTAAACAAGGATTTTTAACATATTTTGATTATTTATTGGCATGCATTTTTAGTCAGTTTGTATGGTTGCTCTAAATAGTCAGAATATTAACGTCATTTTTATAATGACATTTCCTTTCTAACGTAACTTTTGCTGGATTCCAGGGAGCAAATATGACATTTCTCTTAAATTATATCTTATATATCTTTAAAATTTTACCAACATATTTTCCGTTCTTGAAAATTACAAAGCACGGTCGTTCACCTTCACTGTGCCGTTTATCATTGATCAGTTGCTCTATGTTTCATTGTATACACACACACGGCTGCCAACTGTATACTATACAGTTGGTAACTGTCTGGGGTCTGGACGCCGGCTGCCTTATTAGCATTCTAATTAGTTGCAACGCTGCAGACTGGCGCTCACGCACCACTGGACACGGCATTGGTGCCAGTATTTATTGGTGTAGATTTAATTTCGTACTGTACTGCTTGCGGGCTATATGCCTGTTTATGACGTTTCACAGTGGGGATTTTTCCGATCTAGCGCCTATTAATTCAAAAAATCTTTTTTGGATTTTTGTTTATTTTTTGTGTCAGGGGGGCTAAGAAATATCTGAATTTTTCATATATGGCATTGTTTTATCTGTATGTCCACAGCAAAACTAGGAAAAATGCGCCCAAAGTTCACACTCATGCGTGATTACTCAATGGGCTCAGCAAGGCCCGCAAGTATAGCTCAATTTCATTGTCCTGTCCTGTTGGTTTTAATCTTGCGAGGTCTTAAAGTTGCATATCGTCTGAAAGGCACCTTTATTAGGAATGGAATGGCAAACAGAAAGTATGCCACAACCTTACTAAGGTCACAAAAATGCCCTTTACAAAAAACCCTTACAGACACCATATTGAAGGAATGGTATTCTAAATAAATGTAAGAAATCAACAATGTTCTCCACACTTTTCCACTCCGAAATATATCCTATCGAATTCGCCACTTTCTCCTGCACAAGACAACGCCTAGTTTGGCTGCCGAAACTTGCCTGAACACGGAATATTCACATTAGAGTATCTTAACACCCCACTCGAGGCGCGCTAGGGCAAACAGCACGATATAGGTATGTTCCGGACATAGGCGAATAATTTTACTTCGTGATTTATATGATGCATATTTTCTGAGACACATTCATTAGGAATAGGATGACAAGCGTAAATTATACATACCGTAACCTTATTAACCATCGCACTTGTGGGGAGGGGGAGGGGGAAGGGGTCGGATAAAACCCCATGGTTTTCCGCAAATTACTCGCGCAAAAAGCGGCCGATCGCGCCGAAACTTTCGGTGCCCTCGAGATCATCAATTTTACATCTAACCTAAAAATTTCATGGCTCTGACCCAACTGACCTTTGACCTGTGGCATATTTCTCGAGACCATGTTTGGCCGGAATGGCGATTCGGCGTATGCCAGCTCACATTATCCGCGGTTTCCAGTCTTTTTGTGGTTTTAAACGTTCAAATATGTGAAATGATGTTGGTGCCATGCATAATGGTGGGTGTCAAGGTCACGTGAAGGTCAAGTCAAGGTCATTGACCTTTTGATGACCTTGGTTCACTTTTTCGAGTTTTACTTGTTTCTAGGGTAGTTTTTGGTGCTGATTTCGATTTTAGCAGCCATTTGAATATTTACGAAGTAATTCTGGTGCCTTCGTTCCATGTTACGAAGCTATCAGTAGTAGGTGACAGTTGACACTTCTATGTATGGCCGGCAGGACGCCTACTAGTTGATCTAACCTGACCTGACCCGACCTGGCCTAAATGCATAAAGACATCGTCTGTGATCAAAACTAACATGAAATTCGTGATCAGCACCCCAAAATACCCCGTAACACCCTAACTTTGCGAAGTTTCAAGAGGTCTCGATTTCCCAACTTTAGTTGGGTCATTAAACTGACTTGGAAAGTCAGCTTATGACCTTGGACTTTGAAATTGGATATATTCGGCCTCATTTCGTCATAGGCAGCACGCTTGACTTTTCCGCGAAGCTCTAGCTTGATCAGGGGCCAAACGGCTGAGCGAGGGGTCCAATTGAACCCCCTATACTATGTTGATTATGCACATTTGCAGGTAAAATTCTCACCAGGACACACCAGCCAACATCTGTGCACAATCTGGCTACAATTCTAATTTTGGTTTGCCCTCTACGAATAAATACGTGCTAGATCGGAAAAATCCCCACTGTGCGTTTGTCCAATCGTATTTAAGGGTATTGCCGCGGCAATCGCAGGCGGCACGAGCGATAGGGAACTTAATGCGGCGTTAAGTCATCAACAGCGAATCTATTAGAGAGGTTTGAGCTTGATAGGTTTGATGCTACAATGTAGTGCTGTAATGCTGTAATGTAACAGTAACTGCACAACTGCACAACACACAACACAACTGCAATGTTGAAGGAGTTGCTTTGGCTGTGGGTGTCAACTGTAAACCCTGTGACTGTGTGCGCGATTTTGAAATGTGCGTACTGCGTTCTGTTTTCAGGTGTCACTTATTTCGAAGATTGTCCCCTCTCCGGACTGGTTCCTTGGCATTGACAGCGTCGACCTCTGCGACACCGGACGCTGGGTCGACTCGGTTCATTTACAGGTAAATGCCTATTAAGTTTCAGCTGCAGGAATGCCTGGCTTTCCTGCAGCTATACATTTCAGGAATCTCATAGAAAAATATCAGTGTTTTTACACTACATTTCAAACATTATCCTGCTGATGAAACGAAATCACCAGTGCTTTTTCAAATGATGCATAACAAACGCCTGGAGCTCTGGGCACGTCACGGGCTAGTTCGTGGCCACAATTAGCGGTTTGACTGGCGGCGCGGCGCATCTGAGGCCGCGATGATTGACGCACCGTACGTCGGCTCGTGTAACGACCCCGCTGTCTGACGACTGCAGACACTCAGACAACAAACACACACGGCCACGACCGGTCTGCACGGCCCGACACCACCCCACTATCGTCCGCGGTGACGGAGTCTGTCCGCGCAAACACAAACATCCGCGCCACTCCTCGTCGCTGAAAGCCGCCGCCGCGCCACAGTTGCCGCCGCCGCGCCGCGGTGAGTTCAGAGACGCCTCAACAGTCGTCCCATGAAGGCCATGCCCGCTGGAAGAAGCGGCAGAGACACCGCCAAGGATATCCGACCGAGGGAGGATAAGGAGAGAGGAAGGTTGCTTTGGCGACGCTTAGTTTCGCGGTGAGACAATGGACGCCGAGCTGCCTGTTGGACCTCACACAGCTGGGTGTGCACTGTGCAGTGAGCACAAAATCTACGTGGTTCTAGGGATGAGAGCACCGGAAGAACTGAGCAGTCTTGACGTCGTGACCGGCGTGGTGATTGCCTCGGCTCCATGAAAGCAAAGCCGCCAAACCGGCCGGAAGGGCTGTCCGATCGGGCGGAAGGGCACCTCTGCAGCCGCGCGCTGCTGAAGAATGCAGCCTTGTCATGAGGTTCTCTTTACCACGCCGACTCAGAAGTGATTGTACTGGCGGATACAATGGGCGGGAGAGGGCCCGGATTCGACACGACTGAGGTGCGCGGTGCTCACGGGGCGGGTTTTACGACGTCCGACCGATGTCACGCCGTCTGACCTCCGTGACCTCGCGGGCTGCGACACCACTGACCACTGCGGGTGCGGTGGGAGTGGTCGACCGGGACATACCGCTTAAACCTTATTTAGAGAGAGGCCGCGTCTCAGACGACTGATTCCCACTTGTATACACTATTCAGTGGCTTTGGAGGCGGAAAACAGGCGTTTTATTGACACTCGAACAGTTTGTAATGTGTTCCACCTTGATGTTGTGTACGTGATCAGACGTCTGAAAAGAGGGAATTACCATATCAAATACGTTTCATTATAAGGCTGAGCTGTGGTGTACAACGTCCCTCAGAAATGTCCTTGAGCTAAACGACCTGTGTAGTGTGTGAAGTCCCCTAAGATGCTGTTAATAAATGATGTTGCTCACATGATACACCAACTGAGTCTCCAAGGGTCTGCCGACGCACCTACCACACCCACCCACGTCGGTGCCGACAGACGTACCGATGTTTCTTGTGTAGATCAGGGCAGAAATAGAAGCTGCTCACTCAGCATTGAGAGCTAATTCTGGGAAAATTTTCTCTGAAGGGTCCGAGCAGCGACAGAATACAAATTCTTTGTGTTTAAACAACCAAACAATCGTTAGAAAAGTAACTTGTTGAATAGTAGCATGTCAAAGTCACCCACCTCTGGTTTTCAGAAGACAGAATCCATGTCTTCGACGTCTTCTAACAAGTTCGTAGTAGCAGTTCGGGTAAACAGGGTGTTAACGAGGCCCCGTGACAGAGCGAGGATCGGTGCCCAATGACGCATACCTGGGCATCGGCGGCGGCCCGTGGAGGCCCGCAGACAGCCCTAACTATACGGGCTGAGTAACGCCCCCCAGCCGGCACCGCTGGCTGCCGCCCAGCCGCCGACGCGACGCCCCATCCCTCCGCCCCCCGCTGTGGCCGGTGCACAGGGTCATTGCCAACCGAGTACCGACGAGACGGCGCAGGACACTCAGCAGGGTACGGCTCCGTGCACCATCCTGATTCATTCGGTGGTAATTAAATCCAGCTAGTGCCGGAGTGGTATGAGGAAGGGTCGGGTTCGTTACTGAGGGTGGATGACGGTGTCAGCTTGCTGGTCACGACTCGCATGATTCAAAGTATGTGAATGGGTGACAATTCCTTTTGGAATTATTTTGCATAATCTGAAGTGTATCTGAGGCGTCTATTATGTCCTGTATTCCTTCATGCTTCAGCTGCTGCCGTGGATCGGTCGTAAATCACCCGGTGGAATGGCTGGGATTTGGGAATATTTCCTTCCCCTTGCCAGGTTTACTTAGGTCACTGTTCCGTATTCTGAATTGTAATCCTCCAGGAATAGTATCTTGCGGTTGCGTGTAGATTTTTCTTGTTTTTACAAGGGGAGGCTGTAACCCAAAATTGATATTAAGGCTATGACAATGCATGAGGGCAAACCCAACAGCTCATTTTCCTTTTTTTGGTGCCACCTCCCCTTGCTTCAGTCCCGTTTGGGTCTCCCATGCAATGCGTGGAAGTAAGTATACCGATGTCACTCTTATCAGTTTATATGGATGTCAGCTGACATGCTTCGCTCTTTGACGCAAATTGACCGGATTTGGCTCACAAGAGCTTAGATACATCTTGATCTCTTCAGGTCGTCTGAAACGACATCCAATCCACGAATAATTGATTCCGTCTAATTATTTAGTTCATTACATCTCAGTACCTTTCATGCATCATATGCCTTATAGTTCCTACATCCGGCATAAACGATTAATCTCAGTCGTAAATGTGCCATCCATCGCTGAGCTCATTAAGAAAATACAATGGTCAATTGTGCTCTGTGTGACCCGTGTGACCTGTGTGACCTGTGTGACACGTGTGCCCTTGAGTTGCCAGTGTTTCCTTCTGGTGCGGTGGTGCCGTGCGACCTGTGTGACATTTGTGACCCGTGTGGCTCGTGTGACCCGTGGGTGACCAAGGTGTCTTTCGTAAGTTGTATGACCCGAATGACCTGTCCTGCAACCTGGGTGTGACATGTGTCCCTGCGTGATGTTGACTGTCGACTGTAATGTGATGGTTTGTGTGAGCGTGTGCCAACAGTGTGACCTTGTGTGACTTGGCCGGTTGACCTCTGTGACCTGCAGCTGTTTCCGATGGACGCCGGCACTGACCAGGGCCTAACGTTCACCTCCCCCAACTGGGAGTCGGTGCCGCACCAGCCCATCTGTCGGATCACGGCCCGGGTGCCCGGCCACCCGGCGGGCAGCTTCTACTACCCGGAGCTGCAGCAGCTGCCGCCGCTGGCCACTCTCCGCCTCACAAAGGTAGCCGGGTGGATATTACAGCGATATTTGAGCGTGAGGAATAAAAACAGAGGTGACATTTCCCTCCTGTAGTGACCGGCTACGCGCTATACTCCTATATACGGTCTGACTCATGACCCAGTCGGACACTATACCCTCCCACAGTGACCCAGCTCGGTCACTCCGCTTCAATGTTTGCTGATGCTTGTATTGGCCAGTGGGGTCCGTTCGGTCAGGGCACGGGTACACTGCTCTGCTGTCTGACCCGACACTCGGCATGCGCTGCTTGTCACGTACTGAGTGGAACCTGGCACCATTCCACCCCCGCCCCCATCCCCCTGCCGTCCCGAAAAGCAGCGGTTTACGGTCACGGCCTCGGGGCCGTGATCAGCCGGTAAGTTCTGGGTTGGGTGCTTAAATGAGAAACATTTAGTGGAGTTTGGAGAAATGAATCGATCAGAAAGTTTCTGGAACCGTATGCTTATAATAACCATTAAAACGCCTTTTGGGCGAAGAACGAGCGAGTGAGACAGTATGCCCGCCCTGCATGTGCGGAAGGGCGAGAGAAGCCTTTTTAGGTGGCACATGGCCACGACGGTCACCTAAACGCATTAACCCTCGCCGGCACAGGGGGGGTTGATGCAACCCCCCTAAGGTTTTTCGCAAATAACTCGCGTAAAAAGCGGCCGATCGCGACGAAACTTTCAGTACCCTCGCATTGATCAATTTTACACGTTCCCTGAAAATTTCATGACCCTGACCCCAATGACCTTTGACGTGTGACCTCTTTTCCGTGACCATGTTTGGCGGAAATCGCGATTCGGCGTATGTCGGCTTGCATTAGCTGCGCGTTTGCAAGCTTTTCGTGGTTTCAAACGTTCAAACATGTGATTTGATGTTGCTCCCATACATAAGGGTGGGTGTCAAGGTCACCTGAAGGTCAGGTCAGGTCACTGACCTTTGGTGACCTCGGGTGACCTCGGCTCACTTTTTTTAGTTTTACATGTTTCTAGGCTAGTTTTTGGAGCTGAATTCGAATTTAGCAACCATTTGAACATTTACGAAGTAGTTTTGGTGCCTTCGTAACATGTTACGAAGCTGCCAGAGGCGGTTGACACGTATTACGAATACCCGTCACAACCCCTACCGGTTGACCTGACCTGACCTGACCCGACCTGGTCTAAATGCTTAAAAACATCATCTCTGATCAAAACTAACACGATATTCGTGATCAGCACCCCGGAAAACCACATAGCAGCCACACTTTACGACTTTCTAACAGGTCCCGATTTTCCCGGTTTTCGGGTCATTGACCTGACCTGGAAGGTCACCCGATGACCTAGGCCCTTAAAATTGGGTATCATTGGCTTTCTCTCGTGACGGGCAACACGCTCGTTTTTTCCGCGAAGCTCTAGCTCAATCAGGGGCCAAACGCGAGGGGGGGTCGTACCAACCCCCCCCCCCTTGTGCCGTCGAAGGACGCAAAATGGCCTGTGCCGGCGAGGGTTAAGAATAGTCAACCACGGGTAGAAGCAATGGGGCAACCCAACGAAAAATATCGCATCTCAATCGGCCCAGCGGTTGCTGAGTTATAAGCCTCTCAAAAGCGTTACGGCCTGGTCAGGGATATTTGGGTCAGGATCAGGGTCTTGGCTCATACTGAGATTTTTCCAACGGCCTCTCAATGCTCAAAGATGCTCAAAGATGCCATTGCTCGCCTACAACAACTGAGATTTTTCCGTTATATTGAAAAGAAGTATAATGATGAAAGAAAACCGAAGCCTCATAATAACAAATATATTAGGTAAATATATTATAAATTATGACCGAAAATAAAAAGATAACAGTTTCGGGTGTAGCCCATCATCAGCCCAATATTGAAAAGACTTCGCTTCGCTCGCTTCGCTCGTTCGTTCGTAATAATAGCCTAATAGTTTTCATGGTATGACATATAAAAATGGGTTTTTGGCATTGAAGTTCAGCATTAAAACCATTGAATAAAGCTGATCATTACAGGTAAATTATATACTATTTCATGATATATCTATATATACTGATAAAAAGTAGGTTTTTAAAATTTTGGCCTTGAGTCTGTACCTATACTTGTACATTCTTTTGATCTCCATATTGCAAATCAAAGTTTGTTGACTTCACATCAAAGTTCGTTGACCTTTTGCCCGGAAATAGATCAACAACCTGGCTGCATGCCTTTCACTCACGTGAATGCAACAAAAAATGAGGATTATGACCTTTTATAATCTGGGCAACTTCCTTACGAATGTGCTGCAACGCAGGCACAGCAAATTTGACGATATTTTATCACGCCTTTTATACTTTTCCCGTGAATATATATGTTTTCAAATATAACCTTATGTTCAATGATTGACACGAGCATTTCCGAACACAGCATCCCCAGTGTCGGCCGGGACCCCATAATGTAAGGGCAAAGATTCTGCAGGCATGCGATGACAGTAGAGGCAGGAAAATAGCGGAGTCCCTTTGGATCAAACAGATTCGCCCAGCTCTAAACAGCAACATAGCGGCCTGGGCCATCATTTAAAGGGTAACGAGTCATAGACCAAGGGAAAGAAATGAGGAACTGATCCTGTCCTGTAGTACTCTAGCATTTACAACTTCGCTATTGTAACGTCTTCTGTTCTGATGCCTTTGCCACTGATTCACTGATCATGTGTGTATTGATGACAAGTGGCTTTTATATTCAACCATATTGATGAATGGTGTGTGAGAAAATGAATGAATGAATGAATGAAGGACTGAATAATTGGATGATTGTATGAATGAATGAATGAATGAATGAATGAATGAATGTATGAATGTATGGATGAACATGAATGATTGAATGATTGAGTATTGTTTCGAGGTTTGAATGAATGGTTTAATGGTACAGTACTTATGCTCTTTGATGTAAGATGGTGGCCTTTGATGACTTGATTGTCTAATTATCTATAGCTGAGTGATGTGTGAGTACATGGATGGTTGGATGTTTGACGGATTGCATGGCTCGATGGTTGAATAGACGACAAGATGCTTGTGGTCTAGTGATTGATAGATGATAGGGATGAATTATTGTGTAAATTGTGGACACATGTATTATACTATTTATATGAAAGGGTACCTTGTGAACATTTCAACTGTAAGATGGTTGTCTATTTTGCGCGAGAATTTACCAATGTGAGACTTCCTAACTTAGCTGTTATCGACATATTCTGGCGCTGTTGTGACTAAATGATTTAATTTGCAATTCTGAACTGAAGAAGGACAGTGTCCGAAATATATTCATTTTGTAATTAATTTTGGAACCTTTTGCATTTCGCAATCATTGAACATAAGGTTATATTTGAAAACATATATATGTCATAATGCTGTTCATACAAGTACTTCGCCATTTACTTTTCCCGTGAATACTTATATAACTTGATCCGAGCAAAAAGCTTTTATAGGTATATGGATGTGTATGTATGGATGAGACGAGAAATAATAAATCATTATTCTTTTGAAAATGAAATATGCAATTTTATGCTCTCATTAAAAAACACTGGAAAATAAAAACAATAAGACTGGAAGGTCTTTTCCGTGAAGCTTTCCATGTACTCGTAGTTATCATTTTAAATTGTAGTTTAATTTAATCATTTTTAGTACTTTCATTCGCGATATATGTATAAAACATTATTGACAGCATATTTCAATGCATTTGCATTTGGAATGTGTCCTGATAGTCTTTTCAGGGTAAAAATGTACGATAATGAGTCATGGTACACGATCTTATCAAACACCACGATGAGCCATGATCCTTATTGTAAGTCTAGGTTGAAGTCCACTTTATGCAAATTTATTGCAAGTAATACTTGCCTACGCACGCCACTGGCTGATGTATGCCGTCTAATGTATTCTGTGCCTCAGGTGCGCTCCTACACGCTATCGGCCGAGTTCGACCCTCGTGAGACGGTGACCTACACGGTGGATACCCTGGACCCGGGCCGAGCAGTCGGCATTCCCCCTCTGCAGAGCTCCGCCGACCTGTCCGGCCTGAGAGTCGTCCTGGCCTCCGGCAACCACACGTCCACGACGGAGCGCACCCTCCCACCGACCGCTGCCGCCGCACCCCGGCTATCCCAGTGGCAGCGCCGACCGGACGCCAAACCAGCCCAGGTGGCACGGCCGGCTCCGAAGCCCTCGGACAAGAGGACGCCACCACAGCCGCGGCTGAACGACATTGCCGTCACCCCGCGACACAAACCTGCCCACGCCACACTGCCCCGGGACGAGCCCCGGCGGCGAGTCCCTCAGGCTGCCCCGTCCGCCCCCCTGCTGACCCCTGGAGCTGATGCCGAGTCGTCAGCGGACTCTCTGCGGCGGGACAGCGCGCTGGCACGGACGGCGGCGCGGTCGGACGGCAGCCTGGCCCGTCTGGCCCTCCGGCCGGACGGTAGCGTGGCGCGCGTGGCTGTGAGGCCGGACGGCCCGCCGGTGCGACTGGGTGGCCTCCGCGTCTGGGCCGTCAACAGTCAGCCATCAGATGGAGGACGGGGGACCGAGAAGGTGACTGGAGTGGCTACTGCCCCGGAGGACACTGCTGCGAAGGCCGGGGACCGACAGGCCATCCTGAAGAGAATCGCCAACCATTATCGCCGCCGCCACGGCCGCCACGGTCGCCGCCGGCGCTACCGTCGCAAACGCAAACGTTAGTTGGTCATCATGCTTATCAATGCTGTATCTTGAACGAAGTCATCTTCACAAAGCAAGGAAAATGTGCTTTCATATGTTGAACCAGGCTTTACAATCATGTGTTTTACTCCATTATTTTCAAAAGCGTATTGGGTCGCATCATGGTTATGTTTTTTTCCAGTCTCATCTTGAATAGGGGACCAGGGGCGTTTGTGCCTTGAATAGCTTTAACCCAGACCATCTTAAGCACAAGTCACTGCAATGATGTGCTATGTCATGACACTGTCCCTGGCTCACCCTGCCCCGTCTCTGACTGACCCCGGCCCTGCGCCCGCCGCCCCTGTCCCCACAGGCGTGCGTCGGGACTGCGTGGTCGGCGACTGGTCCGCCTGGGGTCCGTGCTCCAAGGAGTGTGGTATCGGCGAGACGGTACGCACTCGGCCGGTGCGGGCGCACCCTCGGCACGGCGGTCGGCCGTGCCCCAGCCTCCGAGAACGGCGCTGGTGCGGCTCCGAGCGCAGCTGTAAGCGCAAACACTACTTCCGATGGTAGCTCGCTCTGGCGACGGGAGGTACCGCTGCTCGTGGGTGCGCGCCCGTGGTAGATGGCGCTGAGATAGGTGCCAAGCCAGGAGGTGGCTGAAAGGCTTTGTTGATACGGACAATGTTGTTGGGTGCAATTCGTGGAGCGCACCTGCATATTACCTACTCTTACTGGCATGTAGTTTTGTTTGAGGCTTATGAGTGTTGAGAAGGGTTTGGCAGCTGCTGTCACTGCCATGGATGCTTGTAGAGAGCAGCACAGCAGCCTAAGCCAGGAGGTGACGGGACATTGGTGCCAGGAACTCTACAAGAGGTAGGTATGTAGATAGATGGGGGAGCTGTCTACGTAGAGGGAGCGCACCCCGTAGCCGGGTGCAGTGAGTGCCTTGGGGCTGGGTGGCCTGTCCTCTGGACGGGCTCAGCCCCGGCGACTCACTAGGATGCCTGCCCAGACCAATGTCTCCCCCTATAGGTATCCTATCATCCTCCCGGCTCTGAAATGGTCACAATTGACCGAAAGGGCCTAACCCAACAAAACAAAACAAACAAACTGTCTACGTGCTGTCTACGGGAGCTTGGCACCTATCCGTGCTTCTATCCTCAGGATACTGAAATCCTTCTCCTCCACTCCACAACCCCCCTCCGGGCTGGACAGGCAATTTTATCTCATGCGGGCTGCTCCCTTGGAGCGGCACCGCTGCTCCTGAGGGAGCGCACCCCGTAGCCGGGTGCAGTGAGTGCCTTGGGGCTGGGTGGCCTGTCCTCTGGACGGGCTCAGCCCCGGCGACTCACTAGGGTGCCTGCCCAGACCAATGTCTCCCCCTAATTCCTATCATCCTTCCGGCTCTGCAATGGTCTTGTCGACCGAAAGGGCCTAACCCAACAAAACAAAAACAAACTGTCTACGTGAAGCCAATTGTTGCGTGCCTCCACCCCTTCAGCGTTTGGAAACTTTTTGCTGTTTTCTCCGTGTAAGTGCTATTAGGTGGCCGGCGATCAGTAGGTAATGCCTATCTGTAAGTAAACATTTACCATACAGTATATGCTGAATGCTGATAGCTCTACTCATTACCTGTCATGGCTATATTCATCACCTACCCAGCGAAAAAGATACAGATTGTGTGATTTTTTGAAGGAATATTGCTGTGATCTATGAAGATTTGTACGTCCCTCGCTGAACAACCGACTAAAAAGCTTTTAATGAATCGCAATATTTCACGTTTAATCACGAACGAAAGAAGCATTCGTTAGTCGTCTTCGATCCAACCTTTTCCTGCTTTCTTGTGCGCATGCCTACTCTTTTAGATTGTTTCACCATGCCGTGTGCCCACTGCCCTATTACGAGTTGGAAATGCATTGTGTATAATTTGCGCTGGCCAGTGGTAACTTTATCCCACGCAAGAATTCGCCAGTTGCGAATCTCAATGCTGTGAGCTTTCATAAGGCCAAATGTTTGTATTTTGCTGGGTCAATTTGGCTCCTTGCTTTACAATAAATGTGCGGTGCTTGGGACCGTTCAATTCTGATGCATTTTTGTACCGTTCAAAGCCAGTTGTAGCTTCATTTGCTGATCACGCCTTTACAAACACTGTAAATTTTGCCAGGTTTTACTCAGCGGGGATGGTGCGAACAGGGTTTCGGAGCCTTCGGAGTCGCTCGGAGTCATAGCAACGGACCAAGGGTCGGAGTCGGGCGTCAGTTATGCTACTTCTACACTGACTCGAAGTTGTTTATAATAATTCTCACATCAAATGCTCATGCAGAGGATAATTCTCCAAAACTCTTTCAAAATTAAATTTGCATGTGACAGTAACTATTGTAGCTATCCGGTCTTCGTCCCGAATAACAAAAGGTTTTTGCCCTTACACAATAATTAGTGCCTTGTCTCTTTTACCCGAAAATGCTTAGGTTGATTCCTATGGCAGTCCTAGCTCCTAGATACTGGAAAAACTTCTAGGTGCCGTAGGGGACGAAATCCCCCCCCCCCGAGATCACGAAATCTACCGAAACGATTTTCAAAATGTGAACGCCTATCGATAGTTCTCTACCTGATCTACCAAATAACCCTCGCCGGACCTATGGTTTTCTACATACTCGCCCCGGCCGAGGGGAAGGGGTTGATGCGACGGCCCCTCGCCGTTTCGCCCCTAATTGAGCTTGAGCCTCGAGAGAACGACGGGCGTATGCGCCGTCGTATAAGACGCAGCGATTGGCACCCAGTTTTAAGGTATCAGGTCAACTGTTGACCTCTGAGGTTAGGTCAAGTGCCCCAAGGTACGGTTCCGTTTTTGGAAAATAACTCCGCCGCAAAACATATGCAGAACCGCGAATGCGGCACCATCGTGTTTGTCTTGCTCAGGTGCATCGGCTCGGTTGAGGTCATCATAAGGTGTTGATCTCGGGTCAAGGTCAGATCAGAGCCTTACGACAGGTTGCGACGTTGGTCGAAGGACGTCACGTTGCATATCGTTCGATTCGGCGAGTCTTCCCGAGTCCATTGGTGGCTTGCGCGACTCGCTAGCTTAATGTGATCGGGAGTTATTGACAAAAAAAAAACTCTTTGACCCCAGTGACTTCATAAATGACATCACGCAAGGTCAACGATGCATGCATTGGACCTTGCAAGGAGGAGTGCATAAAATCACGATTCAATGTGCTTGAGTAAGGTTTAGATCACTTACGGGCCTACGGCGCCAAAATAAAGTATTCCATTTTCCCTATTGACTTATAATGGTGAGGGAGGTCACGTGACTGACCTGACCTCATGTACCTTTAGGACTAATCCGAGATATACAACTTGAGACTTCTGCAGGATGCTAGGCCCTGTAATTTTCATCTTCCTCATTCCTGTGAAAGCTTTTCTGGCACTGAGTGCGTTGCGAAGTTGTGACATTTTACACTGAAAACAATTCAACCCGCGGATTGCGAGTTGGCCCGAGTATCGCGGGTATTTTGAAGAAATTACCCGCTCTGCGCGAGTTTTTGCTGCCGGGTAGGCTGACTACCCGTTTAGCTACCTGCGTTTCGCAGAGCATCCCGTTATCATCGTAGCTTTCACCCGCTTCACGGGTGTCAACGCCCGCTATACTCGGGTAAAACAGCAACCCGTCATGCGCGGATACATGAAACCTCCTCTGGCGGGGTCAATCACTCGTCCGCAGCGGGTTGTGGCCGCAGGCATTACTCGCGCCCACGGAGTAAGCGCATCACGCAGGTTTTGCATCGTGTAACTCGATGCGCCAAGGTAGGTGACATGCTATACGCATGGTTGCCTTGATCACGCATGTGTCATGGCTGATGACCACGTGGACTTTCTGGATTTTTCTGCGGAACCTGCAGCAGCCTGCATACGCCGGTCCAAGGCCATGCATGCGCCGGCCTGCTTCAGCCCGCGCAACCCATGTGTTGATGATTTGTGGTGCGTTGTGTGGGCGCCTTCTCTTGTGTGACAAGTTGGTGGTAAGTGTTCCCTGAAGCTGGCTTTGTCGGCTGCTATACCTAGGTTCCTATGATATACCAATAGATATCCCACTGATGCACGGCATTGGTTTTGAAATTAATACCTTTGACTTCGACGCTCAAACGAGTGTTGAAATGTAACGCGTCACAATAGTCGCTTTTCGGCTCGGCTGCGTGCTTGTGCAGGCCTTGTGCAGGGGTAGAGATGTGCAAGGCAAGGCAATTGTAATCGTAACTGTAACAGCTGTGGGGCTGCGTTCTGTGAGTTAGGAGGGTACTTAACGGGCTTGGGACATTTGAATCATTGTTTGGATGACGTCACGTCTTGGCCGGCAGAATATTTCGCTGGAACGCTCAGCAGAATATTCTGCAGTTCGCGAATCTGGCGCATTGTGGTGAAGTTTGCAGACCGTTCTTAGCACATTTTATTGGTAAAAATAAGCCTGGATAAATAAATCTTTCCCGATGCAAATGAAATATTTGTCCAAACTATTCCTTAATATTTAAAACACTATAGGCGGATTCATGTCAATTGTCTAAGATAAGCCTTTTTACTTTCTGTATTGAGTCCGCCGTCAGTTCTTCATTTTAATCTGATATACACCGACATTTCAGTCGATTTGCGTCAGGTCGCCTGTGGCGCAGTTGGTAGCGCATCGGTTTGCAAAATCAAAGATATCGGGTTCGAATCCTGGCGGGTCAGCGGCGTTTTCCTCCTTGAACGCCGCCACTGGAGGGTACTTTACCCTCCAGCTGATTTGGACACCCTACCAGCGGATATTTGTACTCGCAGAAAGCGAGTTCCCAACCCACGCAGCGCAGGTAATACGCCATGTGCGGATTGTGTACCCGCTGCGAACGGGTAGGTTGCCTTCTGTGTGTGGGTCGAGTCCCCATCCTATGCGGGTTAGGTACACAATATACTCGGGTTGACAGCCTGCGATATGCGGGTAAACGCACCCGCTGGTAGAGTGTCAAATTAGGTGGTGGGTACTGGGTAGGTGTACCCGCCAGCAGCGGGTTTTACTCGCTGTACGCGGGTTGAATTGTTTTCAGTGTAGGACCGTGCAGAGGCTTATTTACGTCATAGGTCAGTGACCTGACCTGACCTGATTTTAGGACCGTGCAGAGCTTTATTTATGACGTCATAGGTCAGTGGCCTGACCTGACCTGAAAATGTGGTTAGTGTCACATGATCCGGCTTGAATCAAAGGTGAGCTAAGCGAATTTTCAGCTTTCTACTTCCGGCATGTTCTGAGCTATTGCGAAAAAAAACCTATTTTGAGGGGGGACCCGCCCTTTCCCTCCTTGGCCGGCAACGGAAAAAAGAAGAAATTTCAAGCGCTCGGTTTAGTCTTTTTTTTTTAAGTTTAAAATGTCAGTGGTATTTTTGTTAATCACCGCTCCACATTTATGCACCGATTTCAATGCAACAAGTGCCTCTCAACAGGTAACACATTTATAAGCCAATGGAATCAATGAAAGCGATTTGAAATTCGAAAAAAAATAATGGTTGCAGCAGTTTACGAAAAATAAAGGGAAAATTAAGGAAAAATAAGCTGGAACATATTTAAGACTAAGAACGAAAATAAGTTAAGAAGAATAAAGGCTTAAGCTTCTATGCATATTGTTAGAATTAGCAGATACTGACCAATATACATAGCAAGAGACGAAACAAGTTAATTCCAGTAAAATTTAAAACCCAGGGAATTCCCTTTAACCCTCACCGGACCTATTGGTTTTCTACATACCTACTTGCCGGCCGAGGGGGGGGGGGGCGGGTACGACCCCCCTCGCCGTTTCGCCCCTGGTAGAGGTGGCGCGTCGCGGAAAAAAACGAGCGTGTGCGCCGTTACGAGACGCAGAGATTGGTATCCGATTATAAGGTCCTAGGTCAACCGGTGACCTCTGAGGTCAGGTCAAGTGTTCCAAGGTACGGTTCAGTTCCTGGTGAATAACTTCGCAAAAAAACGGCCGCAGAGCCGCGATTTTGGCAGTATCGTGTTTGCCTCGATCAGGAGCGTCGAATGATATACTTTTTGTTCGGGTCAGGTCAACTTAGGGCGTTGACCTCAGGTCAAGGTCAGGTCAGAGCCCCCAGGTCACGAAGTTGGTCGAAAGAGGTCATGTCGCATATCATTCGATTCGGCAGGTCTTCCTGAGTCCATTAGTGGCTTTCCCGACTCGCTAGCTCAATTTGATCGGGAGTTATTGACGAAAAACTAATATGACCTTGATGACGTCATAAATGACGTCACGCAAGGTCAACATTGCAAAAGTGACGCATCGAACCTTGCAAGGAGTGTATCAAATCACGATTCTGTGTGCTTGAGATAGTTGGAGATCGTTCTCGGCGCCAGAATAGCAGTTTTCATTTTTCCCCATTGAATTATAATGGTGAGGTCACGAAAATGACCTGACCTCATATGACCTTAAGGAAAAATCCGAGATATACAAGTTGTGGGAATCATAATGGATACTAGATCCTGCAAGTTTCATTTCCTTGTTACATCTCCTCTGGCAGTGAGGGCGTTGCGAAGTTGCGACATCTGAAGACCGTGCAGAGGTTCACTTATCACGTCATACGTCAGTGACCTGACCCGAAAATGCGGTTGGTGTCAAAAGATCCGGCTTGAATCAAAGGTCAGGTATGCCAAGTTTCAGCTCTCTATCGCCAGCGTGTTCGGGGCTATCGCGAAAAAACCTATGGGGGGGGGGGCGGCACCCGCCCTCCCCCCCTCGGCCGGCGAGGGTTAATCTACGTACTGAAGAGGGTCCGGGCCAACTTTACACCGACGGAGCGGGGATGGCCGATGGGGGCGAAAGGCCAACCCCTAAGATCTCGAAAACGAAGCAAGTTAGCCACAAACTTTAGACTTGGAATTTAGTGTAAAGGTGTCAAATTGATGCCCGGGAAGGTATTGAGAACTTGGCGGCGCTGCGCGCCGCCGTTTTCTTGCTATTCAGGAAAAAACACAGGGGGGGGAGGGGTGGCATATTGCCCAGTGCCCACCCTCCAACGGAGCGAGGGATATACGAGTTGTAGGTATGTACATACCTATGGTCT